CCTGCTGAAGTTGTTTCTCTTTGCACTGTATAATTGAAAATTAATTTGCATGTACAGAATAAGGACAGGGAACAAGTAATTTGACCTAATGTTTAGGACACTTGTGTGCAAGGAAAGAGATAACGTGGGACATGCAAAAGATAGGAAGTATTCATTTACCTTTGTGTGCCTATGAATTTTCCTCCCCCATCATGGTATATATACTCTCATTCTGAATTTTTGTATTCCTTTTTCTCTGCACTTAGTTTACTGATTCATTCTAGAGAAGAAGCCATGTCTCTCAGATTGTACGTATTTTGAGCCTGATTTTTCGGAGATCCTGGCCGCTGCAACTGATATTAATTTGAGTAGTAACTTGAAAAAATACTGAAAATCAAGGCATCACACTTGGGAAATGTGGTATCAGTGACAGCTTCTCAATTTGTTTTCTTTGGATATGATTTTACAGGAGTAAATTGGAGTTTATGACAACTGGAAGTGTTGTGCCTTAATGCCATATAAGGGCGATATGTTATTTTAAATGCTCTACAATTTATAAAAGGCATTCTTCAGTGCCTTTCAGAGCCACTTTCCAAAGAAAGGTCTGAGGATTTTAGCATTAAGCCCATTGCGAGTGCTAGTCTGAAATCTTAGGCTGATGAATCATAGCAGTGTTATTCCTATTTTATTGTCATCGATTTACCCGTTTCATTCATTTTTCTATACTAAATTCCCTGTGTTTTGCACAACAGTATCCTACTGTTGCACTGGTACTTAATTCATCCAATTTGAAAACACCGCCAGTAAATTATGCCCATGTTTACAGAGCATTGTTTTGGAAATATTTAACTTTGTTACCAGAGAAACTTCCATCGAATAGATAGCAAGATAGCGATCTCTCACGTACAAAATGGTATTTATTAGTTATTTTAAAAAGTCATTTGTATTTGACTATTAACTTTGCATTAATTATTTAAGACAGAACTAACTCATGGCTGAGCAGAAGTCTTTGGGCAGGGTGAAAGTGTGGGCAGGATGCAAGAGAGAAGGTACTGTTTCAGGAATACAGTCTGTTGCCACGTTATTGTGGAAGCCGCTAAAGGACATCATGGATTCAGTTAACGTGTTCTTTGATGTTACATTATATTCTGTAGCTGCTTCATTTTCCTTCTCTGGAGAACCTAAAAAATAATTACTGCTTGTATCTAAGTAGCTGTAGTAGCCCCACAGGGAAGAACAGGGACCTTAGGAGGTTATTGAACCTGTCCTCCTCCTAAGTTACTCTGAGTCACTAATGATAAGCATCTGTTTAACCTAGTATTAAAGAAAGTGTAAATAGGGATTCAATTACTACCTTAACCAACTTGTTTGAATGTTTAGCTGCCCTTAGTATTTTGGGGGTTTTGTGTGTTTGCAAATAGCAAACTTAAACCTCCCTTGCTGCAAATCAAACTGATTTACTACTTGTCCCTCCAGTGTCAGACTCAGAAGGCAAATGATCACTGAGTGGTTATCATGTTCTCCCTCGCTTTTCTCTTTCTCTATCCTAGACGAACCCACTTTCAACCTTTCCTCTCTTTTTTTCTGTATATATTTAGAAATATAACTCTTATAACTCTTCATGCTATCTACTTAACTCTCCTCAGTTTGTCAAGATCTTTTGTTAAGAGTTCTGTTCAAAACTGGACAATCTTCTAACTCATTAGAGCTGAGTACAGCAGTCGTCTCTTCTGTCCTATACAGGAGTTTTCAGTTGATGGATCTTTTAAAAAAGAAGTTTTAGCTTTTTGGTAACAGGTCCACCCTGTTGACTCATATATTCTGTTTGTGATTCACAAATTGTAATAAAACTGCATTGCCCAGATAACCTCCGTTTTGTGTTTGTACATTAGAATATTCTTTCCTTAGTGATTTAGTTCTTTTCAAACTACTTTTCCAATTTGTGTAGATCACTTTGATTCCAGATATATCTCCCCAGTGCTTGTAATACCCCTCCAGGTTAGTAACGTCCTTAAATTTTTGCTATTGGCCGTTCTGTTGTCCAAGTTAATGACAATACATAATGGTAGAGAAGCTCCATTGCAGATCTGTG